GCTGGGCCCTGCAGAAAGCACCTCTGATACCTGACACTTTCCACAAGAAGGCCCTTCTCTTCATGAGAATCGCGCAGCAAAGAGAAACGTCAAACTGTGCAAATGCCCGATTCTGTAAATCAGTACACTGCTTCTTAAAAATGAAACCGTTCAAAGCCTGGGGAGCATCTTTATTTTGCAATTATGTTCAGCCTTCACCTGTAAATGACAACTACTAACCAGAAGCTCAAAAGGGAGGGGGGTGGAATCAAAAGAACTTTCCTATCTGATTTTTTTTGTTGTTCCCCCTCTATCTGGTTTGTGCACTAGCCGAGAAGCCTGCTTGCCTTTCAGGGGTTGCATTCCTTTAGGGAAAAGACAAATGACAACACGGGTACTTTAGAATTCTTGGAGGCACTGGGGGCTGCAAAGTGAGCTTTTAATATAAATGGAGAAAACCTCCAAGCTGCCAGCATGAAATTCAGAAGGTGCAGGTAGAATGGCCTGCTCACCTAAGAGTAGGGCAAAGGGCTCCTTTGGCTCTAAAAGAGTCAATTTGTGTTTCAGATACCTTTCAGGAACTTGACACCGTGAAACTACCTGCTCCCAGGGAATCTGAGAAAGTCCTAGAGTAGCTTTCTTCAAGAAGAGCAGCAAGATTCCCTGCTTTGTAAAAGCTCTCCCTATTCGCTCCGCAGACCGCAGGCCTGGACGCTGGGGGCCAGGGCAGCCTGTCCGGCCCTGGGTCCGACACTGCCCAGCCTCCGAGAAGACATGCCCTCTTCCATCCCGGCTCTGCCACAGCGCCTGGAAGTCCTGCCCAGAGGGGTCCCGGAAACCAAATGACACAGACGCCACAAAAGCAACATTTGGGGGGAGAGAAACAGGTTGGGGAAAGTTAAGTCTCACTAAAAGACAAATGCAATGTCTATGGACAATTTTGAAAAATAACTCCAAAAAATGTAAAACCCAGTGGAAAAAATTTAACAAACCTTCGTGAAAGGCTGGGCCAACAGAGACAGATCATTGCCCAGATGCAAAATAAATCACAGCTGATTTATTAGTTTTTAGGCATCAAAAGGTAACAAAGACCAAAAAGCTGTTATCAAGGTTCATACAGATCTTATACTTTCTGCCAAAATCTGTTTAATTAGCTTGTCGATAAGGATCCATTGTCCAAAACACATTTAAAAGGCATATATATTCACCATATTCCCCATTCCTGGGAATATATATATATGTATTCCCCTCCATTCCACCGAATACATATGCCTTCTAAATTGAGCCAGGAGGCCCCTAACAGGCACCAAGTTCTCTTTCCTTCTCAGTTACCTGCATATTTCTAGAGAAACAGCATTCTAAGGTTTTTGCCCTTTGTGAAAGGTCTCAGCGCTCAGGCAGCCTGCCGCCTCCCCCTCCCCCAGGTCCTGGCGGCTGTCTCTGCACTGCCCTGGAGGCAACTCTCCTACGGCTTCAGGTTTCCCCGTTTCTGTGGTGTCGGCACCAAGGACCTATCAAATGTTTATTACATTCGCGGGCCGGGAAACACTGCCTCAGCTGCATCCTTCCTCCTACAGGTTGCAAAGGAAGTGTAGCAGCTTTTGACGTTAGACTGTTTCTGCCCAGGGAGCGAGGCGACTGAATTTAATTTTTTCACTGTGCTCCTTCCTCCCAGTCTGCCCCAGGTTACCCTGGGCATTTCCTGACACTATCCTGCAGAAGCGCGATTTTGACAATAATAATATTGTGGGCGAGCGGAGCGTCGGTTTTCTGATTTGCAGGTCACAGGGCAAGAAAACATCTTTGTGCCTTTTGCTTTCATTTAATAGCTCTGAGTGAAAGAGGAAAGGGGGATTTTAAGAAACGTTACTTGCTTTGCCAAAGATAATTATATCCCTACTGTTTTCTTTTCTCTCTCTTCCTTCCCCTCACCCTCAATTTTAGAAGAAAGGTTCAGGGCTCCAGGAGGGATCTCCCTGATCCTGGAGATGCCCTTCAGGACAAGCCAAAATTGCACCGGAGCAGGGCAACCGCAGGTCCCGCGGTGGGTTTGACAAACTGCTGGGGCCGACTCTCCAGGAAGACAGCCACCTGTCAGATTGCACCTGACTCCCTCCCGCCCGGGAGCCCCGAAGCGAGGCTCGGGCTCGCAGAAAGGCCACCCAGGGGACCGCCAGGGCTGGGCTGCGCTCCCTGGGGAGGGTCCGGTGTCCCAGCGCGCTGGGCGCACGGCCGCGTGAGCCGCGAGTCGGGCTGGAGGAGCCGCAGGT